TTTTGACCCTGTGTGGATGAAAGTAAATTCAAAATCAGCTAAAACTTGTGCACCCAATTCTTCATTTTTAACCTCCTAAGTCCCAAACTCTTCCATGGCATGCGTTTTTAATTTCTCTTTGATATTTGGGCTGATTGGGACCTGATGAATGTAAAACCAAAGTATTACCAGATTTATTTTCCCTTATTTTTGTTTCTAAGATAAATGAGAGCCACATATGAGGATATTCATTTAAAATTTCAATATAACAGTTGCAGTATAATGTTCGTGTAAGTGGATATCAGGCCCTTGTAGAGCAAGATTTAGTATTTTGGTCTAAATAACCCAAAATGTGATGTCCACATATGTGGACGCCAGGTCCTAGGAGGTTAAAGTCATGAAAGATGTATGCTGTATGATCACCGTGGTCTAGAAAAAGAGCAGCCCAAAGAAATCATTAAAAGACCCACATTACCATGATGACTGTATATGCAAACTTAAAACTATGCAAATTGACAAATACTTCCTATATATTTGCACAACAGACAAAATATTTTAAGTCTTATTTGACCACTGCATCAAAGGAAGGTTTAAGATGTGCCATCGTGTCCTCTTCCTGTACAGATGTCTGGGATGAACCAGGTGGTTGCAACATGCTGGACTTGCCTCCTGCTCTCTGCCTTCCTGTTTGAGCCCACGCTGTGTAAAGGCGGACGTGGAGGGTCCAGGGGCTCCTCTCGAGGGTCACCCTCCCGCAGCTCCACAGCAGGGACCTACAGGGGAGGAGGCGCTTACGGCGGGACCCGCTCTCGTTTCAGGGTGGCCGGCCGGACGTCACCGGTGAGGGTGGCAAGTGCAGCAGCAGCAGGGGCAGCAGTGGCGTTAACGGCAGATAAATGGTACGCATCTGCCTACCGACGCGGCAACACAGACAACTCGGAGGAAGAGCTGGATTACTACAACAGGACCAATTACTTTGATGCTCTAATGTCAGGTTCTACTCAAAATGGATCTTTTTTCTCTAAAGTAGTTTCTGTCATTATCACAATGTTTTCTCCTAAATATGGACTCTTGATGGACAGTATACTGTAGATATTTGGGTGATTTGTAGGATACATTTGTGATTGGATCTAGAACCGAAGTTCCATCCAGGTTATGATTATAATGCAGAGGACTGACTGGAACCTGCACGGGTAAGACCAGTTAGAGCGGCCACACAGGAGCAGAACAAAACAATGACAAAAGCATCACTGTACTGTACTTTTTACAGTTTTTCCAACCGGCAAACAACAGGCTGCGTTACCAGCTTAGTATTCATGGGGACATTTCACCTCTCAGACTTCATCTCTGCATATATAACAGAACTACTGTCAATTTCCACCCCTAAAGCTTAAATCTTGGTATTTCACTGAAGAACATATCAGCAAAATGGCAATGACTCTTCAGAGTCTAACCGAGCTGCTTTCTGCCAATTTTAACTACTGCCAAATTTAAAAAATATATACTTTTAATAATATGCACAAAATAAAAAGTGACCTGTACTGCAGCTCTGTACAAATGAGAGAATCTGTGTTTAAAAGCAGACCGGTGTATTAATATAAAGTTTGGACTTGCTGCAGTTCATTTAAAATATGGCAGTACAGATTATCAGCTACTTTATAACATTTATTAAGTTGAAAGGAACCTGGCACCAGCATTTTCTCACCCCTGAAATCAAACAGTATTAGTAATTTTTCTCTGAAATATGGACTTATTTATTTTACAGAGGAAAATACGTGTTTTTGTTCAGCTTCCAAACTCAACCAATGAAACACATTTCATTTCGTTCTTTATACAATAATTTAAATAACAGAATAAGTAAGAGTGCTGTGCTTTGGGACAGCTAGTTTTCCACAATCGTCTTCGCATTCTGAATAGTTCACTGTTTTCTAATAACACCTGAAATTCATCTGAGATCTGTGATCATGACATGGATGAGAGGCAAACCTACCGCTGCTCTCAAAAGCGACCGGTGTCTCTGGAAGGTTTTCACGGTGTTTACATCTTCCAAAAAAAAAAAAAATTTATCTACCTACAAAAGACACTCAGGAGCAACAGACTGTTCCACATTTACAAGTGCACTCTATTATATGCTACACTGATGTACATAATAATTAAAGAGTTTGTTATCACTGTCTTTATGCCAATAAATATCCTGTTTACACCACCCTGGATATCTGTCTCATGTATCCTACAAGCAAAACTGAGAATGACTATTTAATAAATGTCTTTTATTTACAAGTCATGCAGGAGTCTGGTGACTTTTTGCATTATCCACAAGCCCAAAAAACTGCACCATGTCAGTGCAGACACAGACTAATATGCTCTTGAAGAAATCCAGAAACAGTTTTTAGTTATCGTCGGTAAAATGACTCGGGTCAGTCGAGCATTACTTGACCCAGCTCTCCTTTCCTGAAGGCTCTTATGAAATCATATGCTGCTGCTGTGTAGTTTGGTATTGTGATGGTAACATTTCCTGAAAGAGACAAGGAAAAAAAGGGATTGAACCGTTAAAAGAGAAAAGTGCAACAAACCATGAGGATTGCCCGTGAATTCAATTCAATTCAATTCAATTTTATTTATATAGCGCCAAATCACAACAAAAGTCGCCTCAAGGCGCTTCATAGATACAGAGAAAAACCCAACAATCATATGACCCCCTATGAGCAAGCACTTTGGTGACAGTGGGAAGGAAAAACTCCCTTTTAACAGGAAGAAACCTCCGGCAGAACCAGGCTCAGGGAGGGGCGGCCATCTGCTGCGACCGGTTGGGGTGAGAGAAGGAAGACAGGATAAAAGACATGCTGTGGAAGAGAGACAGAGGTTAATAACAGATATGATTCAATGCAGAGGGGTCTGTTAATACATAGTGAGTGAGAAAGGTGACTGGAAAGGAAAAACTCAATGCATCATGGGAATCCCCCGGCAGCCTAAGTCTATTGCAGCATAACTAAGGGAGGATTCAGGATCACCTGGTCCAGCCCTAACTATATGCTTTAGCAAAAAGGAAAGTTTTAAGCCTAATCTTAAAAGTAGAGATAGTGTCTGTCTCCCGAATCCAAACTGGAAGCTGGTTCCACAGAAGAGGGGCCTGAAAACTGAAGGCTCTCCCTCCCATTCTACTTTTAAATACTCTAGGAACAACAAGAAGGCCTGCAGAGCGAGAGCGAAGTGCTCTAATAGGGTGATATGGTACTACAAGGTCATTAAGATAAGATGGGGCCTGATTATTTAAGACCATGTATGTGAGGAGCAGGATTTTGAATTCAATTCTGGATTTAACAGGAAGCCAATGAAGGGAAGCCAAAACAGGAGAAATGTGCTCTCTCTTTCTAGTCCCTGTCAGGACTCTTGCTGCAGCATTTTGGATTAGCTGAAGGCTTTTCAGCGAGTTTTTTGGACATCCTGATAATAATGAGTTACAGTAGTCCAGCCTGGAAGTAATAAATGCATGAACTAGTTTTTCAGCATCACTCTGAGACAGGATATTTCTAATTTTAGAGATGTTGCACAAATGGAAGAAAGCAGTCTTACATATTTGTTTAATATGTGCGTTGAAGGACATGTCCTGGTCAAAAATGACTCCAAGGCAAGTAGTTCAAAAAAGGTACTGCAGTAGGTTAAACTGCTGATTAAAGCAAATATATGATCATCCAGTCACTTGATGCATTTAAGCATGCAGACATGATCAAGACCACTTACCAAAGTTCAAACTGAGAATGAACATGGCCACACGGCCATCTCCAAGGTTTACAGAGAATGGCCAGAAAAAGGGAAAATAGTGAGTGGCAGTTCTTTGGGTGAAAATGCTTTTGTTGATGCCAGAGAAGAATGGTCAGGCTGCTTTGAGCTGACAGGAAGGCAGCAGTAACTCAAGGAATGTTGAACACACATCACATGAAATGTTGAAGCAGATGGGCTACAGTTGCAGAAGACCACGCGGTGACCCACAGTCTTCAGATCTTGACCCAGTAATAGTAACTAAGGAAATGGCCAGTTGCATATAAGCAGTCACTTTTATTTTTTAGGAATAGTAAGATTTTTTTCTTTACTTTACTTTTAAATATATATAAAAAATATCTATTTAAAGCTCCTGCCTGCAGACTTTTTTTTTTTTTTATCCCCATTTCAAGCCTTCATGCTAAACTACAAAGCTGCTTGCAACACAGACAAGGCAGTGGCATCAATTTTGTTCCCAGTCAAAAAGCAAATAAATAAAACCAAATCACTGATAAATAAATCATTAATTACACTGTACAGAGCAGTTGTATGCATAGGATGAGCAGTGTCTTACCCACTCCAGTAATCGCTTTGACCCGCTGAGTTTTTCCAAGTTTTACAGCAATGCGTTTGAGGACATGCTGGATGTCGTCACTAGGCTCTTGGAGATCATATTTGTCCACATAACTGCACACAAACACATCTTTACAGTAAACATTCAAGAGAAAGCTAAATAAAAAAAATAAAAAATGAACACAAAATAGGAGAAAGAAAAATTCCACCTGAACTTTCCTAGCCTGTTCAGAGAATAGAGTAAGTAGTCAGCAATGATGTCTTCACCCACTAAATGGTCCAGTATAGTTCCTGGAGAAAAACAGATTTTCAAATCATTCTGTATAAACAAGAAATCCAACTATTTGGAAAAAAATAATTTTATCATATATACAAACTGACAATAATTATGTTAGGGAGAAAAAAAATCTGCATACCACATAAGGCCAGCTTCATGCCTGTTTCAACACTCTCAATTTTAGGAGGCAAGACTCCAGGTGTGTCTAACAGGTACATTATGGGTCGCTCACACACCTGAGGACAGCAGCAGTTATAAATACTGGATGGTTGATCAGACCATCAAAACACAAACAAAGGCAAACGCATTCTCCACACACACCTGAATTTTAGTTAGGACCGCTTTGGTTATTCCTGGTTCCCCACCTACTCGAGATGCACGACCTGAAATTAGTGTACATGTGCAACACTCGTTAATGAGGAGGTGAAAGTTATACTGAAATCTTCAAATCAATCCACAACTTTTCTGCATTTACCCTTTTTTAGATTTGTTCTTCTCAACGAGTTAATAAGAGACGACTTCCCAACATTGGGCACTCCAATCACCATCAGGCAGTAATTTGTAATCTGAAAGTTTAACACGTTAATGTGGTTGCATTTTAAATAAAATCAATGAAGTAGGAAAATGTAACATTCAAAGAAAACTAATTTCTTCAACATAGAAGACACTGGTGAGCAATTTGCTTCCATATTTGTAGCTTAAAGACTAAGATAGCCAATAAGGAGGGACGTGTCATTATTTAATAGGCAAAACTCACAGCATGGTGAGGATATGAGTGCAATTTCTATAGTTTTGTGGCACTTTTTCTGGACATACCTCATATCTTGTGCAAGAAATTGAATTTGAGGTTGTATAGAAGCAGTGAGGATATATGTTCTCTGCCACAGAGCACTAAAACAATATAGTTTAACCGTCCAGACTGAATGTACCTCCTCTCGGTTAAAGCGTGGTTTGCTTGCAATAATATCCATCACCTTTGGCACCAGCTAAAGAAAAGAAGACAGAATTAGTTTGCACATCTGTGCTCATAACTTTTGCAACTTTTTTAGCTGTGTAGGAAATGGCTGCAAACAGTAAAATGTTTTTCTACCTTTTTGATGTTGTGGTCTCTCTGCTTTAAGCAGTCTGTGAAGAGAACATGTGTCATCCCTTCTTTTTCTAGCTTCTTCAGGATTCTCTGCAGAGTAAATGTAGCTGTAGTACAGTAAAATGCTGCTGACATGCGACTCTGCCAAAGCTGCTGCAAGAATTTGTACCTGCTTGTTGGACAGATCAGCGAGGTCCATCTTGTTGAGAATTAGCAAATGTGGTTTGGCACTCAGTGTGTCCTGAAACACCGGGTTTCTTCCAGAGAATGGGATGTTTTTAAAGTTAAGGATTAACATCACAGGGCTCCCGCAGTTTTAAATTATCACCTGACCACATGCTATTTTTGAAATTCAGAACACACGTGGAGTACTTAGTAGAGGACTAGAAACACCTGTCTTGCTCAGGTGGTAAACAAGCTCTGAACTAAACTAAACCACTTTCTACATAATTTAGTTGTTATCTTGCCAAAATCTTGCATAGATAAATATATATTTTTTTAAAATCAGCTCATGTGCATCTCCCAGATCAGTTCACAGTGATGCACCTTCTATTTTCACAACTATGCACCATGTTTATTGGCATAATAGTGAAAACTCTCTGTCTCTCCTGTAGCTCTTTCTTTAAGTAAAGTTTAAAAGGTTACTCCGAATCACAAACCAATGTGCTTTTTTCTTTCCTGTTTTATTTTCCTGCCGTGCCTTAAAAAAGTCGCTTCTACAATGAAAATGTTAACATGGTGCATAGAGTACCTTTTGCACAAAATGTTCTTATTCTTAAGAGTTTCTCTTAAGGATTAAAAAGGGTGATAAAATCCATATACACTGTTAATGTTTATATCAATTTGCTCTTTTTTCTTATGTGACCTTGTCTGCTGTCCTTCAATATATTTAAGAAAATCAAAAATAGAAAAAAACTCACTACCTATATACACCATTTTTCCCCATTTCAAAGTCAAAGCTTAATTGTTGTCAAAGCTATGTTGCTATGTTGTCTATAAAATAATTTGTTTTTAAGAGTGTATAGATTATCTATACATATAATCATAACCCATCATATCCGCTGATGTTGCAGAGGTACTTTAGGTAGAGGTAAGGGCTTTTTATAAATAAAAATATTCAGGCTTAAAATTAAAATTACACCAATATAAAAGATTTTTCACCCTAAAAATATGCCAAAATCTCTCATCGATTATTAAGGTATTGGTTAACAAAATAACACGGAATAATGTCCAAATATCAACAATAAAAGCTATGACAGCTGGCATCATGCAGCACCCTCCAGAAAATACGGTTTTTATTGGAATTTTGATACAATTAAATACACCACTGTTTGTTTTTTATTTAAAAGATGATACTGTTTTATGGTGTAATATAATAAAAAGGATATTCTGGCATCGTGTATTTCTATGATGCAGTCCACACTCTTCAGGTTGGCTCTCATCTGTTTTAGTCCTACAAAGAACAAATTATTTCAGCAACTATGTGACCAAGAAATGACCTCGAACACCAGATTACCCGCATTTTCAAAAGCACCATAAACCACACTTTAGAGCCAATGTAAAGCCGAAGCTGTCACCTTTAGCCATGTGTCCGGGGAACCAGTGAGCCACTTCCCGTCCGCCAAAGTCGAAAACGGTTCTGAACTTGTCGACATGACGGAGTGCCTGGTACAGTTTCATGCTATTTACCCAAATATATATCCACCGTCCTTCATTTGCTTTAAGAGAACACTTACTTTGACTCAACTGCATGCACTAAACAGACATGTGTCTCACTGTTTACATCCCGACTCGAATCTGCCGTCAAGCTTTTTTTGTTCCGGTGTTGTGCCAAAAAGTGATTGTCTGCTAGAAACTGATTGCCGTCCGCGGGAGCGCGCGCAGCTGCTTAAAGCCGCAGCGCCCGGATTACTTGCGTTGCCAGCTACTTCCGTGCAACTGATATAACGTGGGGGGAAAAAACCCAAACACATTTATGCCTTTGTTATTAGGCAAAGGTATGCATTTATGGAGCTTTAACGTTTCTTGTAACCGAATTATGACGCTATCAGAAGGTTGCTTTCAGTGTGTAGCGCAGTCACGAATGACTACACGCATCACGATGGAATAATTAATGCCTACAGGTTTAGTATGTCTACTCTTGTTGTTCATATTTGTTATAAGACTGTCGAATAGTAGTTAAAACAATAAAGACCTATTGTACCAGTATCACCATGACTCTTTCTTGTTTGTTCAGAATAACGACTGAGAACATGGCATTTTAGCGCTACCAAAAAGTGATTGTGGCCTATAACTTGTCACTGAAACAATATTTCTGCTTCAAACTTGTTGTATATATTCCAGAGGGGTTACATGTGATATATTATATCCCAAAAACTCTCCAAGAACTGCTGAATAACTTGTACAGGAACAATAAAACTGATAATATGCCATTTTCGACCTGCCAAAAAGTGATTGTGGACTATAACTTGTCACTGAAACAATATTTCTGCTTCAAACTTGGCGGATGTCATTCAGAAGGGTCATATGTCAAATATTACATCTCAAACAGTCCCTTAGAACTGCTGGATAACCTGTAAAGGAACATTAACATTGATAATATGCCATTTTCAGCCTGCCAAAAAGTGATTGTGGCCTATATCTTGTCACTGAAACAATGTTTCTGCTTCAAACTTGGTGGATGTCATTCAGAAGGGTCCTATGTGACATATTATATCTCAAACACTCTCCAAGAACTGCTGACAAACTTTTAAAATAACATTAATACCGATAATATGTCATTTTCAACCTGCCAAAAAGTGATTGTGGCCTATATCTTGTTAATGAAATACTATTTCTGCTTCAAACTTGCTGCATGTCATTCTGAAGGGTCCTATGTAACATATTATATTTCAATTAGTCCCTTAGAACTGCTGAATAACCATTAAGGGAACGATAAAACTGATAATATGCAATTTCCAACCTGCCAAAAAGTGATTGCGGCCTATAACTTGTCACTGAAAAAAATGTTTCTGCTTCAAAATTGTTGGGTATCATCCAAAAGGGTTACATGTGACACATTATATCTCAAACAGTCTCTAAGGACTGTTGAATAACTATTAAAGGATCATTAATACCCATAATATGCCATTTTCGACCTGCCAAAAAGTGATTGTAGACTATAACTTGTCACTGAAATACTATTTCTGCTTCAAACTTGGTGGATGTCATTCAGAAAGGTCATATGTCAAATATTACATCTCAAACAGTCCCTCAGAACTGCTAAATTACCATTAAGGGAACAATAAAACTGACAATATGCGATTTTCAACCTACCAAAAAGTGATTGTGGCCTATATCTTGTCACTGAAACAATATTTCTGCTTCAAACTTGTTGGGTATCATCCAAAGGGATGATATGTGGCACATCATATCCCAAACAGTCTCTAAGAAATACTGAATAACTTTTAAAGGAACATTAACATTGATAATATGCCATTTTCAGCCTGCCAAAAAGTGATTGCCGCCTATAACTTGTCACTGAAACAATATTTCTGCTTCAAACTTGTTGGGTATCATCCAAAAGGATGATATGTGGCACAGCATATCCCAAACAGTCTCTAAGAAATGCTGAATAACTTTTAAAGGATCATTAATACCCATAATATGCCATTTTCAACCTGTTCAATTTGTTTATTAATTCATTAATTTATGTTCGTGTTGCTGTGTGTGTTTCTGTGTTGTTCACAACATTAGAGTTCAGCTTTGATTGCAATTTGTTTGTAGGATGATTCAATTATTTTGTGTTTCCTAACATGTTAGTATAGTTACTGTATGCAAAGAATTAATATATATGTTGTTCCATGGTTTACTGGTGTTGAGCTTCTGCTATACCCCCTGTTTCTGGTCTATTTGTTAGTTTAGTTTAACTGGTGGTTTCTTCTTTAATTGGATGTAATTGTTATTTGTTTTTGGTTTTCGTTTCAATTAATAAGTGCTGTATTGGAATGACATTTTTATTACCGTTTGTTTTGTCTTTCCTATTACTTGGTGTTCCTAATGTGTTTAAGCAGATCTCCTCCCACCTGTTTCCATTTGGCCATTATCCTTTTTTTGTATTATTTTTGAATTACAACATTTTTTAAATTTGACGTTTTATGCACAGATTGAAAATGACATATTATCGGTATTAATGTTCTTTTAAAAGTTATTCAGCAGTTCTTGGAGAGTGTTTGGGATATAATATATCATATGTAACCCTTCTGGATCGTATCCAACAAGTTTGAAGCAGAAATATTGTTTCAGTGACAAGTTATAGTCCACAATCACTTTTTGGCAGCTTGAAAATGGCATATTATGTGTTATTGTTCTTGTACAAGTTATTCAGCAGTTCTAAGGGACTGTTTGAGATATAATATTTGACATATGACCCATCTGAATGACATGCAGCAAGTTTGAAGCAGAAATAGTATTTCAGTGACAAGATATAGGCGGCAATCACTTTTTGGCAGGCTGAAAATGGCATCCTTTAAAAGTTATTCAGCATTTCTTAGAGACTGTTTGGGATATGCTGTGCCACATATCATCCTTTTGGATGATACCCAACAAGTTTGAAGCAGAAATATTGTTTCAGTGACAAGTTATAGGCAGCAATCACTTTTTGGCAGGCTGAAAATGGCATATTATCAATGTTAATGTTCCTTTAAAAGTTATTCAGCATTTCTTAGAGACTGTTTGGGATATGATGTGCCACATATCATCCCTTTGGATGATACCCAACAAGTTTGAAGCAGAAATATTGTTTCAGTGACAAGATATAGGCCACAATCACTTTTTGGTAGGTTGAAAATTGCATATTGTCAGTTTTATTGTTCCCTTAATGGTAATTTAGCAGTTCTGAGGGACTGTTTGAGATGTAATATTTGACATATGACCCTTCTGAATGACATCCACCAAGTTTGAAGTAGAAATAGTATTTCAGTGACAAGTTATAGTCCACAATCACTTTTTGGCAGGTCGAAAATGGCATATTATGGGTATTAATGATCCTTTAATAGTTATTCAACAGTCCTTAGAGACTGTTTGAGATATAATGTGTCACATGTAATCCTTTTGGATGATACCCAACAAGTTTGATGCAGAAATATTGTTTCAGTGACAAGATATAGTCCACAATCACTTTTTGGCAGGTTGAAAATAACATATTATCGGTATTAATGTTCTTTTAAAAGTTATTCAGCAGTTCTTGGAGAGTGTTTGGGACATAATATATATCACATGTAACCCTTCTGGATGATATCCAACAATTTTGAAAAAAACTACGATGACCTGGATGACTGAGAACCTTCACAGACAGGTTGGAAATTGCATATTATCAGTTTTATTGTTCCCTTAATGGTTATTCAGCAGTTCTAAGGGACTGTTTGAGATATAATATGTTACATAGGACCCTTCAGAATGACATGCAGCAAGTTTGAAGCAGAAATAGTATTTCATTGACAAGATATAGGCCACAATCACTTTTTGGCAGGTTGAAAATGACATATTATCGGTATTAATGTTATTTTAAAAGTTTTTCAGCAGTTCTTGGAGAGTGTTTGAGATATAATATGTCACATAGGACCCTTCTGAATGACATCCACCAAGTTTGAAGCAGAAACATTGTTTCAGTGACAAGATATAGGCCACAATCACTTTTTGGCAGGCTGAAAATGGCATATTATCAATGTTAATGTTCCTTTACAGGTTATTCAGCATTTCTAAGGGACTGTTTGAGATGTAATATTTGACATATGACCCTTCTGAATGACATCCGCCAAGTTTGAAGCAGAAATATTGTTTCAGTGACAAGTTATAGTCCACAATCACTTTTTGGCAGCTTGAAAATGGCATATTATCAGTTTTATTGTTCCTGTACAAGTTATTCAGCAGTTCTTGGAGAGTTTTGGGGATATAATATATCACATGTAGCCCCTCTGGAATATATACAACAAGTTTGAAGCCGAAATATTGTTTCAGTGACAAGTTATAGGCCACAATCACTTTTTGGTAGCGCTAAAATGCCATGTTCTCAGTCGTTATTCTGAACAAACAAGAAAGAGTCATGGTGATACTGGCACAATAGGTCTTTATTGTTTTAACTACTATTCGACAGTCTTATAACAAATATGAACAACAAGAGTAGACATACTAAACCTGTAGGCATTAATTATTCCATCGTGATGCGTGTAGTCATTCGTGACTGCGCTACACACTGAAAGCAACCTTCTGATAGCGTCATAATTCGGTTACAAGAAACGTTAAAGCTCCATAAATGCATACCTTTGCCTAATAACAAAGGCATAAATGTGTTTGGGTTTTTTCCCCCCACGTTGTATCAGTTGCACGGAAGTAGCTGGCAACGCAAGTAATCCGGGCGCTGCGGCTTTAAGCAGCTGCGCGCGCTCCCGCGGACGGCAATCAGTTTCTGGCAGACACACCGGCATGAAGACGACTTCTTCTACTTTTTTCAGGTTCGTATAAGTTGCTACCGCCCCCTGCAGGAACACCTGAGCTGGGCAGAAAATCTTCCGTGTCATTGAATAAAAACTGATGACGGTGTCAAAGATGGTGGTAGGGAGATTATTTCAAGGGGAAGCCTTTAAAAACCCTATTTTGGTACAGACTTTTAGGCTATATTTCATTCTCCCAACAAATCACATATCCACGTTTATATACAATTTCTTTATAAAATTTTGCAAGTTTACGCACCTTAACAATATTCTTAGTATTAAACAACTTCTCCATCTTATAAACATTTGGTCTCAACCTAAAATACACAGGCAGACATGTTTGTTTTTGCAACTT